TGGGACAGGGATGTGGATCTGTGGGGCTGGGTGGGATCTGTGTGACTCCAAGGGACTGGGATGGCATCTGTGGATCTTCATCAGACTATAGGACTCTGTAGGGCTGCAGTGGGGCCCTGTGGGGCTGGGACACAGTTCCATGGGTCGCTGTGGGTCCGATTCCACCCCCCAGGTCTCCACACGCTGCAGAAGGATTTCAACTGTGAGCTCCTGTCTGACGGGAGCATCCGTGGATCCCATCGGTACGGCTACGACGGGCGGGATTTCATCTCCTTCGAACTGGGATCCAAGAGCTTTGTGGCGGCCGATGGCGCCGCCCAGATCACCAAAAGGAAATGGAAATCTGACGGGATCATGGTGGAGAGGTTGATGAATGACTTTGAGCACACCTGCCCGGAAGTGCTCCAGAAACACGTCCGATATGGGCGGGAGGCACTGGAGAGAAAAGGTGGGGGCAGAATTCCCATGCGAATGGGGAACTGGGGAATGTGGGATTTGGGAAGGTGGAATTTGAGAACACAGGAATTACTGTGGGAATTCCGCTTACCCTCATCCTATTCCCATGGCAATTCTATGGATGGATCTCACTGCTGTCCCATTCCCTTGGGAATTCCATGGATAGATCCCACCATTATTCCATTCCAGAGCCCCCCAATGTCCATGTCTCTGGAAAAGTGGAACACGGGATCCTGACGTTGTCCTGCCGCGCGTACGGATTCTACCCTGGGATGATCGGGATCAACTGGCTGAAGGGGGATGAAATCCGGGATCAGGAGACGGAGTGGGGCGGGATCGTTCCCAACAGCGACGGCACCTTCAACAGCTGGGCCAGGATCGAGGCGCTGCCGGGGGAGTGGGAGCAGTACCAGTGCTGGGTGGAGCACGCCGGAATGCCAGAGCCTGGGATCTTTGCCTGGGGTGAGGCTGGGAACGGGGAATGTGGGAATTGGGAAATGAGGAATTTGGGAATGTGGAGCAGTGGGATGGGGGTTCCGGTATCCCCTCCCTTTCCTCATCATCCCGTGCTTCCCAGAGCCGGAATCCAGATGGAATTCCACCCCGGTGCTGGTCACTGCATCCGTCATCGCTGCCATCATCATCATCATCGGCCTCATCGGAGTCGGTGTCTGGAAGCTCCGATCTGGTAACTCATGGGATGGGGGTCAGGAAGGGGCACGGATCCACTGGGCAGCATTCCAGGGATCCTGTGCCACGGGTCCTGATCCCACTTTTATTTCCATAGGGAAGAGGGAGAGGAATGGGTATGGTGCGGCCAACAGTGAGTACCAGCAGCATATCTGGATCCGGATCCAGATCCTCTCCATGTGGATCCCACAATGGATCCTGGAATGGGTCCAGGTGTGTGATCCAGGCCAGCATCTCATCAGTCTTCTCTTTCCACAGGAACAGACATGGGAACTGACTGTTCCCCCACAGGTATGGAGTGGGATCCATGTGGGATTCCAGAGGAAAATGAGAGCAGGATAGATGGAACAGGATTGGGACAGGATTCTGAAGCAGGATCAGATGGGATGGATGGAGTGGG